ATTCGGTAGTTCAACCATATCTAGTTCAGAGTTGTAATTCAACTTTGTCCCAGAGCAAGCTGACAAGCCAATTTTGGCCCATATCTGACGGAGTCGTACTTTCCTACATGGGTCATCTCGAGAAGATTTTCCTTCAGCAAACTACATCTTTTTCTATTTCGCATGATGTGATCCAAACATTCAAATCTAAGTATATTTTCTTCACTGTATTTACAATTTCCGGTATTGTGCCCATTTTTTGAAGGATTTCTTCGTTAATTACAAGTGGTACTAGTTATTTTGTTGACTTACACATATAGGGTCAAAGACTCCACACTATAAAGCAAAACAGAGGTAAATGATCGATTTCTGAACACTGACGCCATTCTACAGAACACAGCTTTTGTTTTATCGACTCGATATTGGATTTGCCGCGCATGACCCCTTTTGACGTTAGTTTCTATATCCGTAAATCGACTTTATCTAATTTTCTCTACTTTCGTTATTTTTTGATTGTTAACATTGAAATGATTTTTTGTGATTTTATTGAATCCATTTTTTCCATTTTACATTGTAACTATATACTACATTTCACGTCCTCTTATATCGGATTATGGCAGAAATATTAGGCTACATATGCACGTAGAGCCGAGTTTTACTGATAAATCGGATTATTTCCGGGTTACGGAAAGACTCTTAATCGGTATCATGGACCGAGTAGTGGTTTTAACCCTTGATCCATAAGCGTTCTATTAACCCGGCTTTCCTGTCATCATCACCACAAGCACACATTTATGTATGTACGAAAGTATAACGTACTTATGTTAGTTGTGCGATATGTATTTATGTTACATCCGTGTGTAAAGACGTACAAGTGTGTTTGAAAGCAATCACAAGCTAACTTTGTAACGTATGTACGTGTTCAGTTATTTCTAAAGCACATTAGACCCCTTCTGTGATGTCCGATGTCGCCATTATGAAGTGGCTTTCCACTGGCTTGTAAACACCGTGTGAAATTCGAAAGTCACAAGTGGAAATTGCACCAACATTCGCATCAAGAAAGATAAACAAAAGTCTATTAAGAATTTTGCTCGAAATAAAATACACATAGATACAATAATTTTTATGAATGCTTGTAGCAGCGGATGTACCCTATATCATTTTCTTGTTGATAGTTTATTTAAGTAGTATTTAATCGTGGTTATTGGTATTAAACTGATAAAAGTTTAGGGAACATATGGTACGGTCATTATTATTTTAAAATGCTTAATCTGTACACCAAGGGGCATGATCTAGAAGTTTAGACCATTGCTTAGCATTCGGGGGGACACCGATTCGATTCCGGGAACGTGTATCTTGGTCCAAGTTTTTTCTCTAGTTCTTTGGATCACTTAGGCAAAGATCACAGATAATTTTTTACTCTTTTTTGTCGTCCCGTCTTTCTCATCGCACCCCACCATCCACCCATTTCTACTATTCCTGAAAGAAGATTGAAGAGGGCCTACCCTTCGGTGTAGTCTGGAGGAACTGCCAGCCCATTACCATTGGTAGCTTTTATGAATGAAACAGCCAAAAGAATAAAGAAGCCATCCTCTAGGATAAACTCTCCAAATTTTATATTTGGGTCATCCGTATTCTGGATCATAACTTAACCTTCAGGAGAGCACTGGTTCGATTATGGGTCCACGTATCCTGCCCTTTGTGCTTTTTATAAATCACTAAGCAAATGCTAGGGGAGGACTAATATGCCTCAGATAAACTCTTAACCTCTTTTTTATCATCATTTCGCATCTATCTCTCATCAACTACTACCCATTCTCATTATTCTCTAAAGGGGACCGAAGAGAACCATCCGCTGTACTCTCCGCTTTTACACTAAAGTGTACATCGGAGAAACTGCCCCATTGGTAGGGGATTGTCCATAAAGAACGTCCACCCGTATGGGGGAAGGGGTTCATTGAATTGTGACCATGTCGGACAATGGGGGGAGGGGGGTTAGAACTTTTGTGACGTTTTCAAATAACTATGTATTAAAAAAATTGTATCAGCAAATACCGCTATATTATATTATAAAAACATAATAAATTAGGGGATTGTCAAAATGTGACTTTGGCTTACCCTAAGAGGGGTGTATGAAAACGTCGGAAAACAGTGTATGTCCTTTATGGACGACTCCTAACTGGTGGAATCGAAACACTCAAAAGTTTATGTAATATGTCCAACTGATAATGACATTTGGAGTGTCGACAAGCGTTTCCAGTTTTTTTAACGGTTTTGGGTTTTAGTGTTTTATTTGGTTCATTAAATTTTTTTCATTACCGATTTTATGACTAAATTAATTACATATTCCAACAAGCATAATAACAATAACTGGCTAGTATGACGAATCACTTTAATTAGGTGGTTTGATTATAATTAATAATAACGGGTGATTATTCTTGGCATTTTGGCATTCATTTATTGGAATACTTTAAATCTTCATCGTATTTGTAACTGTTAAGTGACCTTGTTAGTTTATGATGTTACTATGATTTTGTGAATATATCTAGAAAAAAAAATGTGACATGGAATTTTATGTTAGGATGGTATGTTGTTAATTTGGAATATCGAAAGAGAGCATCATCATCATCATAAGGTCATCAGTCCTAAGACTGGTTGGACACGTACCTCCACTCATTCCTATCCTGAGCTAAACTTCGCATTTCCCTAAAACTAGAACAACCCACATCCTTAACTATTTGTGAAGAATAATCTAATCTAGGTCTACCTCTACCCCTCCTAACTCCTGTTTCTGCCTCTAATATGTCTCTGACTAGACCTTCATGTCTAAGAAGGTGTCCTACCAACCTATCTCGCCTATTTTTTATTGACTTCCACAGAGTCCTCTGTTCTCCTATTCTTTCCAATACCTCTTCATTTCTAACCTTTTCTACCCACGATATCCTCATCATCCGCCTATAACACCACATTTCGAACGCTTCTAACCTTTTCTTTTCCGCCGCTCCCACTGTCCATGTTTCGCACCCGTACAACGCCGTGCTCCAAACATACACCTTTAGAAAGAGAGCATAATTTGGAATTAATTAGATGTTATTTTGTTTAAAGAGGATTGATTACCTATAGATCTAAAGACTATAAAACTGTTGCAAAGATAAGAAATCTATTAGTTAAGGAAAAGTGTTAGCAAATGTCAAAAAAAAAAATATACTATATTCCAAATTACTTTCACCCTAAGTCAAATATCGATTTTGGAGGTTTTAATTTTTTTTTGTTTTTGTTACGTTTGATTGTTTTTATTATTAAAAGCTTAATAATTTGTCAATCACTTAATGCATTTTTTATTGAGACATCCCGTTTCTCTGTAAATTTATTCTCAAAAAACAAACTAGTATTCCAAATATGCTGCAGTTCCTCTACTTATAACACATAAATTCACACGTTTAATTTGGAATCTCTGCTTAAAGTAATTTACCTGCGAGTCTCCAAACAGAAACTTGTATTATTAATATGTAACATTAAACTTGAACGTCGTCTTCTCGTTAGCAATGCTGTAATAAGATTATGATATTAAACCGACACGGCGTGAAGTGATACATGTGTCTGGATTGGAGGGTGTATAATTTTTTGAATTTGATTCTTAACCTTTATAACATGTTTGTGTTAAACAATGCTTCCGGAGACCGTACCAAAATTTCATATTGGCTAGTGATAATAATGTAGCGAGCACGAGCGTGTTTGTGTGCGATCGGGCATACGTGTGTGTGAGCGGCTTATCGATTCGCCGACTAGCCGCGGGCGCCTTTCTTCATGTGCGCCGTATCTGCAAACGTGTGTGTCGTACCTGCGTTCCGGGAAAGCAATTAAACGGTTCGAAGAAAACGAAACTTTTCCGGACGGCTCGAGAATGTTCCCGAAAGGAGGCAAGCGAGTATAAAAAGGAAGAGACGATCGCCGAAGGTAGAGTAGAAATAAATTGACCGTTGTAGAAGTGAAAAGATAGAAATAAATTGAACGTTGCAGAAGTGAATCTAGAAATAAATTGACAGCGCAGTGAATGGTGATATAGCAACACTACTGTACATAAATAGAGTAATTTATCACCTAAGTTAGTTTAGTCCTTTTGGTCGAAGTTGAGCGGCGACCCGTCTCATGCCCGAATTATTAGTAAAAATCGAATGGCAGGAGCCAATTGATATGTTTAGATCTTCAGAAACTTCTGTAATGGTAATTCGATGATTAGCCAATACTATATTCTTCACTTCATCAATGTTGTTGATGTGCTCGAGCGTCGGACATGCTCTTCGTCGTTCACATCTTCTCGGCCCTTTGAGAACATTTTGTAGCACCGATAAACATTCCTTCAGTCCAAGGTAGCTTCACTATATGTCACAGTCAACATTCGGAATGTTTGTTTTTCACACAAAATTTGATACAGATTCTTTGATCCATTTTTTGGAATAGGCAAAAATCGAAGACGAGCTTAGACACGTGCAAGCAAAGCAGTTGTCAAAAACTAACTGAACATTTAACATTGTCGAACTTGTGAGAGACATGAGTACCAACACAACGCAACAAAAAATCGAAGATCGAATATACGTAACCCGCGGAAATTCAAAATTCGCGTTACCTTTTGAACAGATCTCCTACATAACAATCCGTGAACGACAGAGACGTCTGGTACGTTTTTCGGTATTTAGCAGATATTTAATAAGGAAGTCCTACATTGGCCGGGATACCCGTGTGTGTGGATGGTGTACATTAATTATACTAAGTTTTGGTGTCGACTATAATGCACGCGATTCCTAGTTATTATTGCTATCTTGTAGTATGTTCGTTTAATAATGGAGTATTTCGAATTAGGACACCACATAAGCGGTAAAGCAAGAACAACGAAATTTTTTGCTGACTTATCTGAATTATAAGTAACGCCTACAAAACACCCTGTATACTACCTTTAGATTTACCAGTGCATTATGATATTAGGTTGTAATCAATGTTGGTGAAAATGAATAATTTTCTAGACTATAGTTCCAAGAAAAAGGACGGCAATTTTCTTGGACAGAGTCATGATGGCTCTTCAGAGGGCCATAGACGAAGAGGAAAAGATTGCCGCAGCTGCAGCTGCTGCTGCATCTTCCGTTGCAGATAATAAAAGTCGAACAAAAAGTGTAGGACCAGAAGCACTTCGATCAGTGAGTAGTGAATTTCAAAATATAGATATTAGCAGTGGAAAACACAGTTGTAATTTATCAGCTTGCTGCTTTGAGCTGTACAGTTATATATACCTGATGAAATAATAATTTGATCTCAGAATTGCTTCAGTGTATCAAGATTTTATTATCCTTAACCTTGTTCAAAATTGCACTTTTTGCATTTTTCGGAAAACAGCCATAACAATTATTTATTGCTCGTTTGTTTAATAATAATAATAATAAAGCCTTGTTTATTCCTTAATAATATTAAAAAAAAAAATACAATTAAATATGGTTATACTTGAACTTAAGATACTTGATCGGTTTGATTACATTTGGAAATAGGTTTTTTTTTATATTATTATTTTACACGGAAATATCACTGGTGTTACTAAGGACCTCTCTATTGAGTGAAGGCCTCCTCCATTTTTCTCCATTTGTCTCTATCTTTTGCTTTTTCTATCCAGTTTTGTCCCGCTGTTCTCATAATTTCGTCGAGCCATCTCTCTATTGGTCTTCCTCTTTTTCTCTTACTTAATTGGTCTTTCCGCGTTATTACCTTTTTTGTCCATCTTTCATCCTCCATACGAGCAACATCGTCGGCCCACTTACATTTTAACTTCTTACAGTGTTATAAAGCATCGATAACTTGTGTCATTCTTCTGATATCAGTATTTGGTTTTTTATGTTCTAGTTTTAGTTTTGTTTGTTTGTTTATTTGCTACTATTTCACGCTTCAACTGCTCATCATCGTTATCATAAGGTCTTCAGTCCTAAGACTGGTTGGACACGCACCTTCACTCTTTTCTATCCTGAGCTAATCTTCGCATTTCTCTAAAACAAGAACAACTCATATCCTTAACTATTTCCGAACAGTAATCTAATTTAGGTCTACCTTACCCCCCCCTAACTCCCGTTTCTGCCTCTAATATGTCTCTGACTAGACCTTCATGCCTGAGAAGGTGTCCTAGCAACCTATCTCGCCTATTTCTTATTGACTTCCTTAGACTGTTCTGTTGATTTATTCTTTTTAATACCACTTCATTTCTAACCTTCTCCATCCACGGTATCCTTATCATTCACCGATAACACCACATTTCGAATGCTTTTAACCTATTCGTTTCCGTTACGTCAATTGACTATGTTTCGCACCCGTACAGCGCCGCGCTTCAAACATATACCTTTAACAATGTTTTTCGATTACTAAATTAACCGTTAGCGAGCATAGAAGTGACTTCTTTTTATTGAAGGCGACTCGATTCTGCGCTATCCTCTGATTTATATCCCTGCTACTCCTTCCGTCCTGACTAAAATCTGCCAATTCTTCTAATTTTTCGTCTCCTATCTTTACATTCGCTCTTTCCCTATTTCTTTTATCCCTTGCATACCAGTATTTTGGTTTTACTTTTATTTATTTTCAGACAGTACTGTTTGATCAGTACCGAATCCATTTTACTTAAAGCTATCTCTAACTCCTCCATGCTAGATGCTAATACTGCTATATCATTTGCAAATCTAAACATCCCAATCTTTTGCCGCTCTATATCTATCCCTACTGTCTTTAATGATATTAATCGCGTCTTGGATGTACAGATTCAAAAGTAGCGGTGACGGTGTGCATCCCTGCTTCAACTCCTCAGTCGATTATTGTGAAATTTTGTACACATATTATCAGAGATATAAAAATGGACCCAGAAAAAATACTGTACCGGAGTCAGTAGTAGTAGAAGTAGTTAAGTAGTTATAAATATTTCTTTTAGATTAGTTGGTTAATATCCTATGACATTTTTAATTTTTAATAGTGGTTAATATGAAATATTATTGTCGAAATTCATTTTCAATTTTCCATCTACCTAAGGTTAATGAGGGAAAATTGTTGTCACACCCCCGCACCACACATCAGAGAATTGGTGCGTAAAGCCAAACGTTCCGGGTTCAATTCCCGACGGGGGTGTGACAACAGCAACAAAAATTTTTCCTCATTAACCTCAGGTAGTTTGTAGTGGATGAAAAATTGAAAATGAATTTTCACATTAATATTTTATAGTTAATATCCTGCTGAATTATTCATACTCTATTTGTTTATTTGAATCTTCCAAAACGTATCAAAAGAAGAAAAACAGAATTAATGTGTTTTCAATTTATTATGTCGCCTCGCTGTAACACTTCAAAGATTGTTTTTTATTACATTGTTCAAAATTTAAGTTTTGGTTTGGGTTTTGGCGGTCAACACAACTTGTTCCATCGCGCTATTAATTAATGTTGCTACATCCGCAATGCCTGAGCCTGCTTTCTTTAGTTGGTCTTGAAACTGGCTAGGTATTTGCCCGTTGAAGTTCCCATTAAATAACGGATCTTGTCGGACTACCTTAAAATAAAAAGTAGACCCTTTACTATTATGTATGTACAAAAGTGATTTTAAACTTGATGAAAAAAGAAAAATACCGCACGGAGGAAAGAAAAATACCAAAATTTACCCGCATATTAAAGCGAAATTTACAATTTATCCCACTAGCCCAGGGGTCGGCAACCTTTTAAGTCGGAAGAGTCGAAAATTACAATTTACAAAATTTCAAAGTTTTTATAAAGCCACAAATTTTTTTCTTGTTTTTTTTTTTTAGTCACTTCTATTCGCGAACGGTTAATTTAGAAATTCGAAAAAGGTTGTTAAAGGTGTATGTTTGGAGTGCGGCGTTGTACGGGTGCGAAACATGGACAGTGGGCGTGGCGGAAACGAAAAGGTTGGGAGCTTTCGAAATGTGGTGTTGTAGGCGAAGTTTAGCTCAGGATATAAAAGAGTGCAGGTACGTGTCCAACCAGTCTTAGGACTGATGATAATGATGATGAAAAATAAATAGTACTCGCATTTAAATAATTTTTTTTGATAAAAAATCTATTTATTCATAAGAAAGAAAATCTATTTATTCGTAAGAAGAAATATCTATTTATATACAACACTAACTTGTACTTCAATAACAAACAATTGAGCAAACAAATTCAATGGGAGCCATGGCTTTGCATGGTCATAACTTGTTGTTTTAAGTTTCAAAAACGACTCTAAATTTTCATTTGTTAGTTGGCTTCTTACTTTACTTGTATTATATTCATGCAAGGTATTGCTTGCACGAATATGTCGATCCCAAGATAGTCAGCACTCACATGCCAATTTCTTCACTTCACTGTAACAATCTGGAAGACTATTGAGATACGGTGAAAAGCGAGTACAAGTGGTTGAAAGATAGAATCAGTGCCTAATCCTCGTTAATCAATTCAGAACGATTTTTAAATGTTTTTTTTTTTGATAAAATAAAATTTTCGTATGGAACTGAAGAGCCGCAGCTTCACATCCGAAGAGCCGCATGTGGCTCGCGAGCCGCAGGTTGCCGACCCCTGCACTAGCCATGCAGTTGCTTCGTAAGCGAAAATAATAAAAATTACAATTTGCACCCGAATTTGTAAAAATAAAATCAGCAGAAATAAAATAACTAGGTGACTTTTATACTTAAGTAAATGTAGAATATTAAATAGGTATTACAAAAAAGTATTTATTTGGAAAAAGTATTTTGCACATACGTATTTTGCATTTGGCATTTAAAATACAAAATATTTTATATTTTACATTTGAAATAACAAATTAAGAAAGTATTTTTATTTTGTGTTTAAATACTTTTAAAAAACCATTTTGCACATCTCTAATTATTAGTTTTCATCAGCACACCATTGTAGTCTCGGTAAATTCCTGACCAAACCGATGTTATTTCGTACAAACGTATTGATTAACATCAAGTAACTGGCAGTATAACGCCATCTATAGGCATTCGTAGTTTCGACATGAGCCTTACGAAATATTGCATGCGACCCACGTACTAACAAATTAACATACCGTACGTATTCTTTTTCATACTACCTTGCATTACAACAAAAAATAAGGTGGAACGTATGAAAGGCATACCAAGTTAGTCATGACTTACGTTTACTGTACAGTAAAAGTTCCTTATTCACGGTTTCCTCACTCGTGTTTTCATTATTCGCGGGTGAAAAAATTGCAACTTAGTTCTTGTATTCGCGGTTAATTATTTCATTATTCTCGGATGCAATTGGTAAACAGAAAAAGATTCGGTGTCATTTATTAAGAGTATTGACCGCAATTGACCGTTCGTGCCTAGTGTGAATTTTTCCGAAAACATGGGTTTCTATTCTAAACATTGTGATTTAACGCTAGGAGATAAATATCTGATTTTTTGTATGGTAACAGACAAAGGTTCACACTAACTCGGTACATGTTTAGTTTTCAATAATATGGTCATTAAAAGCTTTTACAAGTGCTTAAAGCTGATGCTTCTTGTAGGACATGTATTTTCAATAGAAATTAAAAAATTTAAAAATGGCATTCGACGAGCTTTAGAACAAAGTTTTATCTATCTTACTACAAAATTTCAAGCCTCTATTCCAAACATTAAACTCATGATATCCAGAACCGATAAGAATTGATGTCTTTTAAAAGATGTAACTGAGTAAACAGAAAAGGATTCGGTGTTATTTTTCAACGTATCCGCATCTTTTAAGTACTGTTGGCTCGTGCCGAGGTGACTTTTATAAAAGATGTAACCGAGTGGACTAATTCAAAATTCGAAACAAGAAAAAAATCACTAAATTTTTTAAACCCTTGTCTAAAGCTGATTATAACGATTACTTTTAATTGCGAATTTCTCAATAAATTGATATTATTCTGATACATATTCTTTTTATTTTGGAACCTTAGAACGTATCCCTTATGATTCCTTACTAATTATCATTCCATATCCACAGTTTCTGTATTCGCGGCATATTTATGGAACGTATACCCCGCGAATAAAGAACTTTTACTGTATCTCTATCAGTCGTTTTAAAATGCAAACAATTCATTTTTAGGTTGGTAATGTTGATGTTAAAACTAATCATGTTAAAGATGAATTCATGAATTGGATAGAGTTATCGTCAAAAAATTGACATAAATTATTTCACCGTATACCTATTGTACATAGGTATTACATATATGATTAGGTCGTCGCCGTGACGCATTTTGCTGTGCAAGTTACTAAAAAGACATAAAAAACCTTTTTTTCACACTATATGTATTAATCATGTTTGTAACTTCTTTTGGAGTAGAAAGGTTTTTTTTTTGTAATTAATTTTAATAAATTTTTAAAAAGTCGAAAAGTTAATTCAAAATTATTTTTTAAAAATGGCCGAACAGATGAAATCAGGGGAAGCAGGGTTTGCAGTAAAAGCTTAAAACTTCAGGAGAATAAAAATGTCATTTGAAATCTAACTTTTTTGCAAACAAAATTATTAAAACATGTGTACGTACTTACCCTGTCTTGCGGGATACCTTCCACATAGAAAGTTGCAGTAAATGTTATGAGAAGAAAAGCAATCGAAATATATTTTGTCATGATGTTTGTGTGGTTATTAACTGACTTTTAATACTATCCAAAATGAAAGCAGTTTAGCTTTTTATAGGTAGTGTTTACGATTAATAAAATTAGGAGTAGAATACAGACTTTTCAGTGGTTCTCAAAAGTTTTCTTTAGACTTTCTTGAAATAAAGATAGTAAAAACATTTTATTTCGGAGTTCATTCTGATATTCATTCTTATAAAAAATTGAGTTTTTGTGACTTACTTGTAATTCATAATTTTGCGGTTCTTATCATTTTTTCGGGATTCTTTTACGTGGTAGATGAAATTTATCCTAAAACTATAAAAGATATTAAATTATTATCACCAAAATTAAACATTTTTTGAACTTCTGGGAACAAGTTCTTAAAGTATTATTGAATGATTTCGAATTATATTATACACGATTTCCAATTTATATTAACCTTGATACATTGATGTACATGTACGTACGAGGAGGCGTGTTTAAGTTCGCGGAATGGGGGGTGTATGAAGTGGAAATAAAAGTAGGAATTTATTTTTCCTTTTCAATATATTCACCTGCCACCATTATACATTTATCCGATTTTTCAATTAATTTCTGTATCCCTTCGAAAAAAAAAAATGTTTCGTCTTTGTCTGAAAAATGCGCCGAAACTGCATCCATCACTTCTTTGTTGCTTGAAAATTTCTTCCCACGAAGACTTTTTCCAAGTTTGGGAATAGGTAATAATCGGTGCTAGCTACGTCAGAACTGTAGGGTGGATGAGCCGAAACTTCGAAGTCCACCATCTGCAGGGCAGCCATTGCCGTTATCGTGCAGAAGGAGGATACCTTTGGTCAATTTTTCTCTTCTTTTTTTCTTTGACTGCTTCCTCCAACCACTCTAGGATTGAAGCATAAATTCTGGAGACACCTTTCTTTATAATCGATCAAAAGGATCTCTTCTGAGTCCCAAAAGACTGTCGCCATGATTTTCCCAGCCGATTGTAATACCTTAAACTTGTTGAGTGGTGGTGTGCGTTTTTTGTGGCACTGCATAGAGTCCTGCTTGGACTCAGGCCAATAATTATGAACCCATGTTTCGCCCCCAGTAACAATTCGACTCAATACTCCATCTTTATCTTCACTACAGATACCCAAAAACGCGTCAGAACACTCCACACGCTGTCTTTAGTGATGCCAAAATGATCGTGAAGAGTTTTAAAAAATGGGTGTATCTGATACACTTCTGAGAGCTGTTTCCTCTTAAGTCGGGATCTTCCAGTATTAATTTTTCGACTTTTTGATTGATTGTCAGATTGGTCACCTCCATCGGTCGTCTTCAAGTGAGTCCCTGCCTTGCTTAAAGAGAGTATGCCACTTGTAAACCATGGTTTTACCTGGGCAAGAGTCCCCGTAAACGGATGGTATCTCTTCCAGTATGGTTTAAACTGATTTTCCTTGCTTAGTAAAGAACTTTATAATAGCGCGGTACTCAATTTTCTTCATATTTCACGATGTGTTCCCGATTGACTTGTTTGGTCGACGACAGTTCAAAGACTACTAACCTAATTACGATAAAACATGGTATTTATACAAGTAATGAGTTGCTTAATTCGTAATGACTCGATGACCTCGAAAGTACCTTCGTTCTAAAACAGAAATGTTATCACATATAAAAAATGAAACAACAAATAGGATGCAATCAAACAGTAAGTCTTTTATTCACAAATAATATAGTGTTTTATTATTGTTAATTAATGATAGAAAATTGCACTTAATTAAGCATATGTTACTTGGTTGGTAGGTATTAATTCATTAATTGAAAATTGCATTAATGGTAGCTAGTCGTTTCTGTAACAAATGCCTAAGGATGTTCATTCGACACTATGATCCCGAAATATCAATATCTAACATAGAGGGGGACACTTGATCTTTTAAATACTTCGATTGGGTAGCTTCGATAGGTAGGACTGTTGCATCCACTTTCTTCTTTCAACTTACTAACTAGACTAGAGCGATTGCTGACAGAACGCCACATTTACTCATGACAGACGTAGGGAATATCGTAAACATAGAAGAGAGATATCAAGTAGGAATTGCAGCGGACACTAATAAAGAGAAAGGAATAACATTACACCAATTTATGTGTACCAGAAAGAGATACAGACAAGCAGAATTTGGACATGTCGTCAGCATCGGACTTTAAAGAAAATTCAACATTCTCAGAAATTTAGGAAAGCAAAGACACTTGTTTAAAGATATCATTCAAACCAGGTTGTTATGCGTACCTAACCGCTGCACCACTTACTATTATTAAAATGTGTTTGTAAGGGGATAGAGACGCGGGGGATGGGGTTGAATATTTGAATAAAACTAAATGGTTTTTGTATCATCATGGTACCGTATGCCTGCGTTTTTCTCTTTTTTTTAGGGGAAGCGAGTAAAGTTTATTCATCATAGCCTCAGATTATGCACCAAAAAATGTGTTTCTGTACAACACACCATTATAAGAGTTTGATTGGTGGCCACTTATTCTAAGTGTCTTCGAAGTGCCTTCATTTGTTAATAGTCCAAAATGCATATTGCTGTAGTTATACTTACAGATATCGTGGATAAAATTTATCACGTAGTACACGTATGAAAACGAATCTAAAATGGTTAATATTAACTACGATTTTTATACTTTTATTGTCGGTTTCGGTCTTATTAATAGTCTACACAAAAAAGAAATGTTGTCTATTAAACGGTTATGTAAAGTATCTGTACTTATATTAATTAGATCTATCGCGTTTCATTTGTAAAATAGGATTTTCTTCCTCTAGATGCCATTTACAATGTGTAATAGTACAAAAGTTATCAAAATCGTTGGAGGAATTAAAATTAATTAAAATCGTACTTAGTGATTTCAATGCTCAATCAAGAAGGAAACTTCCAAAACGAAAATTATAAATTAATTAAAATCCCACATTTTTATTATCTTACGACATATAAGTCATATGCCATTGTTGATAGAACGGCTTAACACTATAATTCACTTACCAATTTTACTTTAATGTAGAAAAATGCATTCAAAATTACTTTGGAATGTGAGCGAACTCTAGAAGCATTTTGGCGCACATACAAGGGGATGTGTAATAAGTGTGAACCTTCTCATCAGTAAAAACCTTATTGTGACTAAATTCATATCATACAAAAATTCCCCTTCCCCCTCCCTAGAAGCCCGTGAGCAACTTATCTTCGCCCTTTCCTATTTTATTGTCTGCATTTTTATTTGTGCTAAGAAATATATACAGTCGAACCTGGTTAAGTGAGAGCTCAAGGGGCCGCGATCTGTTTTTCTCTTATAATAGAGGTTTCTCACTAACCCGAGTTTCTAGCTTACAGAGTTATAGGAGGAACCTGTCTCACTTATAGAGGTATATAAAAATACTGTTCGACAACACATTGA